ATTCACTACTAATATTATACTTAAGAAAATAATTCAAAATATAATAAATAATATTTTCATCTACGTCATTTTTAACATCAAGTCGCGCAACGCGCGGGTGCCGTACTAGTATATATTAAACTGAAGCAGCTGGAAAAAAATTTGTTTTCCCTCCTATTTTATATTAAATGTTACTCATTAATGGTTTGATAAAATCAATAAATATTGTCTAAAAATTAAAAGTCTTATTGGAATTGTGTATAATAGATAATAATATTATTGGGAATGTTGAATAAGTTGACAATTGTTTAGAATGTTGTGCTAATTCTACACATCTCTATACAACTAATAATTAGATCAAACAAAAAAAAAAAAAACATAATGATTAATGTCAAATTTTCTATTAATTGTCCTCAATGGACTATTTCTTTAAATTTTTAAAACCTTCCACTTTGAATATTTTAAATTATAAAACTATATTATGATTTCATTATAAAACCACAATATAAGAGCCTAATGTAGTCTTAATTTAGTTATACATGTTTCACAATTGTGGGTCATTTTGAAATTGTAAATTCGTAACCACATAATATAAAACCTAACATATATTTAATTATAATAATACGGTAAAATAAAAGTTTATAGAATTTAAAAGATTAAAAGACATCATTTTTATAGGATGTCTTTATGTTTAATTCATTGAGTAACATTTTCACTGCAAAAAATCATAAAAACTAAACAGAAAATTATAACATATTAACAATTATTCTCAAAATTAAAAGTATATACATATCTATACAATTGAAATATCAATAAAAAATATTTTTCTTTCAAAACTTTATTTATGTTTATGAGATCGACATATTTGTATTGGAACATATTATACATATAAACAAAAATAGAAAGAAGATACAAAGAGAAAGCAATGACAAAAATAATAAAGTTAAATTTTACATGTAGTTAAATTAGAAGAGACATAATGTTCAAAATAAAAAATAAAAATGCATCTATAGGTTTTTTTGGGTCAAGGTGTAAACCAAGTGAAAATATGTCTAAAAAATTGCGGATAACCTACTTGGGAAGTAAAATTATTTAGATTTAGGTTTCATAACCATAACAATAGAATTAAATTTATACATAATAACACATTGGAAACTTCACTCCAATTTTCATGGTCAAATAAATTTGAAACAAATTCGTCAAATTCTATGTAGACCAATATAATGCGGTATAATAAAAGCTTATAGCATAAAAACTAAAAACCTAGCAGTTATAGATAATTCAAATAATATCAATATATTGTTTCTTTTAAAGGCTAATTTAAAAATATTATTATTGTAAATTTCCAATCCAATTTTTCATTTACATTTTTCCTATCTTCACAAATGATTATTAAATTGTTCTTATTGATTGGTGGACCAGTCCAAGTTTAATTATAACCTCATATTTATTAAATATATCCATATTTGCTTTTTCAACCGATCGATAACTTAAAAAGAGAAAACATGACGAAATAAATTCCAAAAAAAAAATCTATTAAAATATTTAATTTTTAAAGAGTTATAATATATTCATATGGAGCATTATATATCATAATCATAAAAAAAAATATTCAAAATACATTAAAATAGCTTTGATTGTGAAGTATGGAGAGGAAAATACATATATATCGTTCAATTTTTAATTAATTTCCAGTTATATATTAGGCATTTTCATATTGGTTTTGTTGTGATTGGGAGTATGTTGTTTGGCCAAAATACATAGTTTGTATAATTTTGTTAATATTTCGTCAGTACAATTTATTTTAGCTTTTTCCAAAATCTTGAAGAGACCATTTAAACGTATGTGCATAGTTTTTTTTTCCCCCATTTTAGTTTATTTCTTGGCCCATATTTATACAATAATAAATTTTTGAAAAGAAAATGCCTAATGGGTAATCTTATTATTAATTTTTGTCTATATATATCGATCATTAAATTTTTTAGAATGGCCGGATTATGACAGATAAAATTTCACACAACATACTAAAGATGCAACAATTATATTTTATTTATTACATATCACAAGTGTTTGTTTACTTTTTATTATTTTAGAATTATATATTATAATTTAAATATTTTTATTCTTATTATTTTTCATGAATTTATCAATATGTATTTAAAAAAATAAGTTAAATTAAAATTATCATAAATTTCATGTAAAGTAAGTGTTGGTGTTGACCTAACATTGACTGTTACCATTTTGAATGTTTCAGGAATATAGTTTGGAAGTAAAATATCTTAAAAGTCTATAAAAAATATATATTTTGATATATAGACCTAATGTTTTCTTACTGTTCACAATTAGACGGACATACACTGTTAAGTTTGTATGCGAAATAAAAAAATGAGATGGTTTTGTGTTAGAACATGACATGAAGTTAGGTTTCGTTTATGAGTAAGCGATAGGGTAATGATACGAAATGAGTATTGTGAAAGGAGAAAAAAAAGAGAAAGAAAATGATGACAGAAAGAGTGAGAGTATCCCGGCCATAAGAAAGAGGGAACAGTAATGGCGTGATTTTTATTTTGAAGACTGGGCAAGAAAATACATATTTATTATTCTATTATTCAGTGAAAATCTATATTATACAAGGTCTTTTATATAGCTTTCAGTACCAATTAATTAAATAGTTTGAGCCAAAAATGTATCGTTATTTAATTTAATTTATTTTTAGTTGGTATCATTTGTTCTATATAGGTCTAAAATTTGAGATAATCTAACAATTTGCTATTAAAGAAACTATCATCATTTTAACTTTTATCGATCTTCAAGTATGTAGCTGTTTTTTTTTTTAATGAATAAAACAACATATTGTCATCAATATTATTAATTTTTTATTCATAGAACACATATACCAACTACTTTTTTCTTATCATATATCATTAATGTTTGTTTAAACAAATAATTTTTATTATTTTAGAATTTATGTAATATAATTTAAATGTTTTTTTCTTATTACTTTACAAAAATTCTGTCCATGTACAATTCTAAAATTATAGTAAATAATATTTCTTATGATTTCCAAGTGAAAAACAAGTAATATGATATTTACTTGAACTTTAACGATTAACGACCTATCTGTAACTTTACAAAAAAATGATCCATTATGCACATCATTCTCATATCACCCTCACACTTATTTTACTAAAAATGAATGGTTGATATTTAATTTTTTTAACAAAAAGTAAAACATGTGGGTCTAATTTAAAACTAGATACATGAGATCAAAAGTTGGGCCGTCTTTGTGTTTTTTAATCAAGCATTCAATTTATGTTTCTTAATTTTAACTGACTCATATATGTTAACATTAATTATGTGCATAGCAATTTATTTGTATAATAGTAACAATGACTTTATTTTGTTTCAAGATAATGAAAACTATTTTATTAAAGAGACAATTTTATAAATAAAAAAATATCAGGAAATTAATATGACAAATACTTTATTATATTGAATATCCCATATATGTTTCTTTTTTTTGTAAGTTTAATTAATTTAATTTTAAAAATTTGAAGGAAAAAACATATTCTATGTTTTAATCACATACTGTCGCACTGTCGCACATTATTGTTGTTTCTAGAGTTATAATTTTTTTTAATAAAAATTTTAAGATGTGATAAATCAAGAAATTATTATACTTTTTATTGAATAACTTTTCATTCATTTGAATTATTATATATCCACATCATTTATAACATCAGGCTGCGCATAGCGCGGGTAGCGTACTAGTTACAATCTTTATTAAAGGTAACCAACATGAAACACCTCATAAAATTCATTTAACGATCAAAAAA